GGGGGGGGGGGGGGAAGAAAATGTTTGCCCAGGGTCCGATCAATATTAAAGAGGGGCCTGCACATTTCCATCATATACTGTATGTTTATTTGTGTACTTGCTGTTACACTTTAATTTCACTGGCTTAGTGAGCTCATACTTATAACCCTTCCACTACAGTCATTTTAATTATTTTTCATTCCCCACAGTTTACAAGACCAGTGCTCGACATGGAGAGCTTTCCACAACTGGACACTCTACAAATTATGTTCTCAGTATCAACTTACCAACAGATAAATCTCCAAATCACTGGGTGAATAGAGGGGTGGCTTGCCTCTGTCAACTGGATTACTAGATTTCTGTACAACTATATAAATACCTGTTTTTCCTTCATTATTTTTTTTTTACCTGTCACACACAATGCTGGTGCTTGATAAAGATTAGAATCCCAGGACAACTTTCATTTCACAATATGTGCCTGACCATATAAATCATGGATAGAAAATACCAAATCATTCCAAAATCAAGATTTAATTTAAAGTGGACTGATTTTTACAAGATGGAGATTTGTGAACCTTTGGAGGTCTGATCAGTGTTTTCTGCCCTAAGCTCCAAGACATCTATAGCTTGTGGTGAAATCTGATGTGCTTCCCAATGGTGCCCTACCAGCCTGTAAATAGCTTTTGTTAAAATGTCCTACAATCTAGTGTGATTGTGTCTTATTTATAAAAGCCAAGCAAAACAAATGACAAACGCACTCAACAATTTGTCACCAGCTATACAGTAAGGTGCACACAAAATGGGATTTGAACAGTAAAACAGTAGAAAGGTATCATGGCACACTCACAAACCAGCATGTAAAACAACTTGTCTCACCACTAAGGTTAATAACAAAGGTTTGCATACACGTCTTCTGCAGAAAATGTGAAAGCCGCACAGCCGCGCCAAAGGCACCTCTTATAGTGCGGTCCTAACTCTAAACTATGAGAGTCTCCATCTTGGAGCACATGGGGGCAGAAGATTTCAAATTGGGTGCAGGTTTGTCAGGAGGAAGCCAAACCTCCTTAAAAGGCACAGGAACACACAAGGGATCCCTCTTGTATGTCTTGGATACACCGACAGTGATAAAACTTGCTATTATTTCTGACTCTCTTCACACAGAAGCTTAAAATATGAGTGGAAACCCCTCATAGTGCCCACAGCAGGGGTGCAGACCCAGATACTCAAATGCAGACATTTCACAAATAGAGCCTCTGGAATATATAAGAAACTGTCAGGTCTGAAATATCAGCTTTGTATGGACATACCTTTTGAAAGGCTCATTCATATAAATAATAATATATACGACACTAAGTTCCATGTATTAAGCTGATAACTATATTCTAGACTATAAACTTTATTGGGGAAATGCTTATTATTTTTATTAGGCATTAGTTTTCTTGGCTGTGGGAAGCTCATTGTGTGCACCCAGAGCTCTTGCCTTTTTTGATCACCAACGCCACCACCTTACACCTGTATTTACTACCATCTTTTCCTACTGATACATTTACAGCAAAAGCCACACCGTGGGCCGTAACCCTTGGGAAAGCCTAACTTGTGCTGTAAAAGACAGACTCTTACATGGCATGACACAATTAACACTAGGCAGAAACGTCTTAAGGACAGGGATTTTCCAAAACAATTACTTCACATAAATGAAGGAATGTCATTTAGATTAGTGTGAGTATGGGGGGGGGGGGGGAAGAAAATGTTTGCCCAGGGTCCGATCAATATTAAAGAGGGGCCTGCACATTTCCATCATATACTGTATGTTTATTTGTGTACTTGCTGTTACACTTTAATTTCACTGGCTTAGTGAGCTCATACTTATAACCCTTCCACTACAGTCATTTTAATTATTTTTCATTCCCCACAGTTTACAAGACCAGTGCTCGACATGGAGAGCTTTCCACAACTGGACACTCTACAAATTATGTTCTCAGTATCAACTTACCAACAGATAAATCTCCAAATCACTGGGTGAATAGAGGGGTGGCTTGCCTCTGTCAACTGGATTACTAGATTTCTGTACAACTATATAAATACCTGTTTTTCCTTCATTATTTTTTTTTTACCTGTCACACACAATGCTGGTGCTTGATAAAGATTAGAATCCCAGGACAACTTTCATTTCACAATATGTGCCTGACCATATAAATCATGGATAGAAAATACCAAATCATTCCAAAATCAAGATTTAATTTAAAGTGGACTGATTTTTACAAGATGGAGATTTGTGAACCTTTGGAGGTCTGATCAGTGTTTTCTGCCCTAAGCTCCAAGACATCTATAGCTTGTGGTGAAATCTGATGTGCTTCCCAATGGTGCCCTACCAGCCTGTAAATAGCTTTTGTTAAAATGTCCTACAATCTAGTGTGATTGTGTCTTATTTATAAAAGCCAAGCAAAACAAATGACAAACGCACTCAACAATTTGTCACCAGCTATACAGTAAGGTGCACACAAAATGGGATTTGAACAGTAAAACAGTAGAAAGGTATCATGGCACACTCACAAACCAGCATGTAAAACAACTTGTCTCACCACTAAGGTTAATAACAAAGGTTTGCATACACGTCTTCTGCAGAAAATGTGAAAGCCGCACAGCCGCGCCAAAGGCACCTCTTATAGTGCGGTCCTAACTCTAAACTATGAGAGTCTCCATCTTGGAGCACATGGGGGCAGAAGATTTCAAATTGGGTGCAGGTTTGTCAGGAGGAAGCCAAACCTCCTTAAAAGGCACAGGAACACACAAGGGATCCCGCAGGAACCTTTCTACTGTTTTATTTATAAAAGCATGGCAGCAGCATATGGCTATCAATGCTAACTGCATACAACGCTAGACACTGCTAAACAGAGCCTTCTCATTGTGCCATATTGATTGTTCTTGCCCATCAGCATTCTCAGACCTCACCTTGCTGACCATCCTTTTATTTAACGTTCACTTCCCAAATACTAGTGAAGAAAATAATTTGCTCTATTATCCTGCTGTTGCTGGGAAAAAAAGATAGATGACTACTCTGTTGCCAAACTGTTAGATCCTCACTATGAAAACAGTAATTTTTAAAGCTGTGAAATCTAAATTAGGATATTATCAAGCTACACTGTGCAAACAGATGGCTGAAGCACCCCAAGACATACAAAAGACTAACCCCTGTCAAAATGAATCCTGAATTCTCCATAATTCTTGTCAACCTCTGGGTGAAATTAATGCATCTGCATGCAGTGAATAATATGGGACCCACTGCAACTTCCACACTTGCCTTTCACAGCACCATACATATTACTTGTCTATTTATGACTGCCTCCCATATTACTTGCTGTATTCGTTAAAGTAACAGCTTGCTGTAGCAACATATATCATAAATAATTGCCTTTTATTATATATATTCATAAAATTATGTTTTCAGCTTGTTTATCCTGCTTTCCATCTCAGTGCTGCTGATCTCCTCTAGCTTTTTTTCTGTCTATGGCTGAACATCATCACTCTGGATCAGCTTCCTAATAGTGACAACAATGGACCATGCCTGTGCCATGCTGACCGCTTGGAACCTCCATTAGAGGTTAAATGTTAAAGAGTTACTGCGCTTAACTACCCTTTGGTCAAATAAATATCAACGAGCTGCCAGCACTCTAGTATTTCTACTGTTCTAGTGCAAATAGTTCATTTTTAGTGCAGCTTGGCTTTTGACAAAGTCTAGTGACGTAATGTATAATGCAGAGTTTGGTGCTGGAGAGGTGCCAGGACAGGAGATCTGAATAGGACTAAGTGCACCTGCGATTCCAGGATTACCCTATCCGTGTCTGAACAGCTGCCCTTGCTGGTGTTAGATAATTCAGCACGCGCTGTCATTGTATCTTGGGTTCATCAAGCAATCTGTTCCTGCATGAAATACATTGGTGAAGGAGGAGTGAAAGAAGTTTATTACCAATCCCTATAAAGGGAAACAAACATATCTGACCTTAACTTCAACCTTAAACTGACATTAAACCCTCAGATTTTTTAACATAAAACAATACTGTAATGTGTGCCTTACTGTAATCCATGGTTGTTTCCCTTCTCTTTGCTGCTCTTCCTTTTAAATCCTCATGTCTTCTCATGCTTGGGAAGAACTTCCCTTTTCAGCTCAGGGCCTCTTCCTGTAGTGCTGGCTCAGGTTTCAAGCCTATACAAACGTATACACAGACACCGTGTATCCATTCCTGAGACAAGGCAGTCTGCTGCAAAACAGAAGTTCTGCAGAGCATGATAACAGATACAGATTTAAAAGGAAGAGCAGCAAAGAGAAGGGAAACAACCATGGATTACAGTAAGGCGCACATTACAGTATTGTTTTATGTTAAAAAATCTGAGGGTTTAATGTCACTTTAAGGACTATTTCCAAAGGTGAGCAAAATCCCAAATAAGGGTGGAGAGAGCACTAATTGAAGAAAAGTATTATAAAGGAACCTTTTTTCATTGTGAAGAGATAAAAAAATGTTGAAATCAAAGCAGATGTTATCACTATGAAGTTGGAAATGTCATATATAGTGTGATACTTTTTTTTTCTATAAATGTGTATACATTTTACACTGTCACATACAAATACTTTAGAGCACTGTTTTCAATTTTTTTATGGATATGCACATATATAGATATAATTGATGTTGTATATTTGAGGCACAAAAACACATTTGTATGTTGATTTTAACATTTAAGGAGATCTGTGGGGGAGTATAAACACTATTGGGTTTGTTTTATTTTGAGGTTGGGAGTGCTGCACTAAAAATTAACTAGTTCCTCTAATAGAGATGCCTAATAGAGAAACGCAATTGGGAGACAGTTGTTACTCTATAACAGGAGGTGTCTGAACAAGGGCTTTCATAGCAGGATAACAAGGTGTTATTTTAATGAAAATTGCTAATTTAAAAAAGATTACAAAACTTTTGACATGACATTTACATGTTAAAGCTTATATGAAATATTACAGAGTGGGTTTAGATCTACTTTAGACTTACTTAGTTACTAAGACTTACTCTAATAGTTTAGATCTCTATATATCTAATCCCTCCAGTCCATCCCATAGCAAAACATAAACACCCTATAATCTTTCCATTTGCACATTTCTAAACACATAAAAAAGATGAAAAAAAAACATTGACTTCTCCTTGCGTGATACAATTTACCAAAACGCAACTACAGAACAAAGAAGACAAAAACACCCTTCAGGATGTGATAGTGGGCCATCACATGTTGAACGGTCTCTACGTCTTCTTTGTAACATACTTAGGTTATTGATTACGGGATTGCTTGTTGATGTGATCTGGACTAAACATG